TGGAAAAATGTCTATTTATTCATAAAGGGTAACTTGAGAACTCCATATCAGTTTTACTACTAACTTTTACTGATTTGGGAAACCCTTTCATCTGTGGACCACTCAATCACATTCACTTTTCAATCAAATGGTAGGCTGGTACGTTATCATTCCACCGTGACTTGATGTATAAGTTTGAAAAGTGCATTTATTTTTTATTTCAAAGATCTAATTTTATGATAAGGATAATGCCGCTTGGTACTTGAGAAGGACAGTTGGAACTAGGGCATTATAGTAAATAGCACTGAAGCAAATATTACCTGAGACAGCAAACATAAATTAATGCCTTCTAATTTGTTACTAGAAGAATAGCTCTTATTGTGTAACTTCCTTATAAAGTTCCCCAAAGCCACTTTTGTATGTGTGGTTTCTTTAAGTACATGAGATTATTATTTCTTTTATGAGAAGTGAAATAATTTTTTTAATTATCAAAAAGACAGGGTAACATTACCATTCAATTACGATTTGAAAAGTGAATTCCTTTTATCCATTAACCCAGTTTCATTTCTGCTCTTACATTTAATCCCTTGTCTTCTTTGCAAATTTGTATTTCACACAGTTGCTACTTTTATGTGTATTTTTACTTAACATTGTTGGAAACATTTACATGTATATAGCCTAATTGAATATTTAAATCTTATAAAACTAATAAAACCTTAGAAAATAGAGGATTTAGAAAATAAGATCATGAAAATGACTAATATTTCACAGATGGAAAAGATGGCATATGTGATAAATACAATAACTTTCATTTTTTATTAGAAAAGTAATTCATGCTTATTGAAGAAAAATTGCACATAAAAGTGTAACGCAGGAAAATAAAGTAATTCATGAGTTTTTCACCCACTGACAATATTTTGGTTACATTTTTATCTATTTTTTCCTACTCTGAATTATATATATGTTGTATTGAGATTGCACTGATCTCCTGATTTTTTCTTTAATACCAGAACTTCTCTATATTGAAACTTTTAATAGTTGTATAACAGTCATAAATTTACCATAATTCATATAATTATTTCTCAATTATTATTTCTGTTTTTTATATTACAAATAGTATTCTTTGACTATATTCACACATTAATCTCTTTCTTATAATTTCAGGTTCTTTCCTTCAAATAATTTCTCATAAGTAGAATCTTTAGAATAAATGGGATGGATGATGTTTTAAGGTTCTTGATAAAGACTGCCAAATTACCTTCCAGAATAATTATGACCTATTTTTCATTCCTACTAGCAATGTATAAAATTGGCTATCTCACTGAACCTCAGCTCACAAGGTTGTTTACTTTTTAATCTTTGTAAACAATATGTGAAAATGGTTTGTTTGTTTTTTGAGATAATTGCCATATAACATATCAGGTATTTCATTGTTTTGGATTTATTCCTTATTTCTGAGATTGAATATTCAGTCTTGCTACTTTACTTGGGATTTAGTTTAATAGAAACCATTCCAGTTTATCCAGTATACACTCCAGAGTTGTATAGAAAACCTTCCTTTGTCCCCTAGCAGAAGGAATATTAATGTTTTTTATCTCCATAGAAAGTCACTGAAGGTTTATTTCTTTAAAGATATTGCATGCATAATTAGGAATTAGAGAGCTGAATAAGTAAGATGAATAAGAACAAAAGGGATTATCCAGTTTGTTACAAAGTCCCTTGCCTGACTTTATTGTGACCATCTGGATTTTCTCCTTGGTACTGTGTTCTGAACTATATAAAGAAAGGATATAGAGAGTAAATTTCCAGAAATCTAAGTTCATCGTTATCTTTAAAATAAACTATTGGAACACAGCCCTTTTGTAAATTGGTATTTCTGTACACACACGGGTTAGGGAAATCTCCAAATGTAGATTTCTGTTGATAAAATCTGTTTCTGAAAATGTGTTTACTTTGTTCTCACAGACCTATTAAATTACCTGAGGGTAAGAATCCAATCTTGTTCATTTTTGTGTCCTGAGCATAATTCCCGGTACACAACGGTGTTCACTAAATGTGTGAATAACAGAATCTTTGAAAGAGTGAAAAGATTGAACTTGACATTAGAAGACCTGAGGTGTTCTCCCATTAATTCTCTTGAGCTTTATGAGTTTTATAGATTATGTCACATCTTTTGAACCTCAGTTTCATCAGCTCATGGCTGTACTGCTTGTTCCATTTACTTTACAAAGTTGAGAAATAGAATAAAATATGTTGAAGTATCTCGTTAAATTAAAAAGTGCTGTGTAGTTGTGAAAGTCATCATTATCATTATTACATTTCTGGGAAGTACTTGGTTAAGAGTCTCACTGTTAAGAAATTACCTAAAAGAGGATGGCAGAGACTGCTTGCTAGCTGATCACAAATCCAGTTTCCTCTTCTTCCTGGACCTACAATAGCACAGTTTCTTGGCCTCCCTTGCATTTAGGTATGCTCATGTGACTGAGTTCCCGTTAATGGAGTATACAGAAACAATGTGTGCCACTTCCCAGGCATGGCCCATAAAAACCTCTCATGAGGGCTCCTCCAAATTTTTTGTCTTTCTGTGTGACTGGGATGGAGACAACATTCAGGGTAGCCATGGAAGCCATCCATTACAGGTAGTACAGTCTCCTTGAACATCATATGCTTGCATGGAGGAAGTCCACCTGAAAATTTCTTCATCCATCCAGTTCTGCTACTTGAGCAAGAAGTAAACTGTTTTTGAATCATTACCCATTTGGGGACTACTTGTTACAGCAGTCAGACCAGCACTAGCTGTTATATGGAGCATGCTAACACAGGCTCTACTTTTTCTTCAATGCTTTCCTTTTTCATAGTCCTGTTTAGCAACCTTAAAACAAGGGCTTACAGTGTAAAGATACAAATATACAGTCTTGTCGTCCTAAATGTATATTTCATGACCCAAGATAAAATTGAGGAGAGAATTATATTTTGTCACTTGAGAATTTTTTGGCTGAGAAAAGTTAAATAATGAGGTTTGTAACTAGTTATTACCAAAGTTTAATTAGGTAATTTATCTGTTTTTCACTTTTTCATTGAGACCAAGGTCCCAAAAGAGTATCAAAGAGATCATAAGTTTTGGTAATACCACTTTAACTGATACTTAGTATCTAAACTTTTTCTTTAACATTAAATACGATATTCAAGATAACACATGTAATAAAAACGTTTTCTTAGTGACAGTAATCATGCCAAAATTTTTTTAAAACATGATTCATTTCTGTCCAATTCTTTTTCTATTTATTAAATGTTGTAACCCATTTCATTATAAAATAAGATTTTTGTTTGGGAGGGGTACTGGTATTTAAACACACTCCAGGAATTGTAGGGCAAGACATTTACTTCAAAAAATGTATGCTTGTGAAGACTTCCATGTTAGACTCCTAAGAAATATTGAGGGAATTAAAATATATACTTATCTTTTTATTTGGCAGCTTTTAACCAAAGTAACTAATTCTGTATTCGAGCATGCTCTTATTTGGGGAAGGAAGATTGCTTTAGTCAGTTCACTCATCTAGCAAAGTTTGGCACATATTTTGATTATGGAAATAAATACTACCAAGCATAGTGAAAACAGCTATGACAAAACCTATACACTTTGCTGCCTAGAGAAGGGACTTCCCCCTTTCTTCTTAGGCAATACATTTGATTTTATTCATTATATTTAATTATCTGATTTCCCCTGGGAATCCCGAGGTCTTCTGTGAGTTACAATTAATGAGAATCAGAAAATAAGCTGTGGACAGCAAGTTAGAAATAGCGAAAGGTAAGAAATAAACCTTGCAGTGAACCATTAGGAGGTAACAGCAAAGGACAGAGCAGCAGCCATAAGGAAAGAAGGAAAAGCTAATTGTATAAAGAGGAGTCTGAAGGAATTAAGTGAATTGACAAGCTGAGTGCTACTTTCTTGGGTACCTTTTAGGAGTATTGAACTACTATAGTATATACAGTAATTGATACTAAATATTACCCTGAAATAATGTAAGTCTGAATTATGTTCAGAATACTTAAGGGTGGAATGCTAAGTACATTTTATAATTCCTTCAGAACTTACTGTAAGTTTGGGTGGTTCCCAATTATCTGAAAATTTTATCTAACTCAGAATGGCTTATTTCCTAACCAAGTATCTACTAATACATAATTTTTTAAACTAAAAAATGAGGTTTTTTTCGTTGAATGAAAAAATAAATATGACTGTTGGTTTTAGACTACCTAGTTATTCAGACTACCTTCAATGCAGTTCCTTCAAGATATTAACCTTGGAGTGGTTTGGGTTTATCTAGTTATGGGAGGAAGAGGCCACATTTTTTTAATCAAATTCCTTTGTCGAAGTTAAAATATAGTGTAATTATTTAACATTTCAGTTTTTGCACTTTGATTTTCAAAACAAAAATTAATCCAATTGGTATTTTTTCATGTAGATGGATTTTAATATTTTATATTTAGCTTTTTTCTATAAAGGCATGTCTATACTCTGAATCTTACCACTTGGCTTTTCTAGAGAAATTGTATTTCAGTATAATAGGAAGTGTCTTCTCCTTGGCTGATCATTTGTTTATATATGTATACCATTTGCAATCGGATAATAACTAGTTGTAACTGCTGAGATTTTATTTCTTCAGTTTATAAGTGGAGTTAAAAGGCGTTACAATTTTACTGAAAGAATTTGATTTAAAAAGTAACTTTGCAGGGTTATTCTTCATAGCACAATAAAGGAAATCTCAAATGAAATCTACAACAGTGACTTAAACGTAGTAAATGTGTGCGAAATATTTGTTCAATGAATAAATGAGCATTGAATTTAAGCTTAGTATCACCATTGTCATAGGAACCTACAGTGAAGTCCCAGATGTCATGTATTAAATAAATTGTAATTTGGAAATGTTAATTGTTGTATACTAATTGTATTTATTTATGTCTGGAATGCAGGTGGCGATAAAAATGATAAATCTCAACTGGATGCAGTGAACTTTGAGAAAATCTACTGAGAAGTACAAATAATGAAAATGTTAGACCACCCACACATAATCAAACTTTATCAGGTATGGCTTAGCCTTATATCTCTTAATGCTTCTCACATTCATTTCTGTATTTTGCATCATTATTTTTCTCTTTTATGCTAGTTTTTCTAATCTATAAAAAAGATTTATTATATACTTTTCTTAAGCTGAGTATATCCATTTTTCTATATTTAAATAAAAATTAGGAAATCAAAAACTAGTAGCTTTATTTTCAGTTATCTCTCACACTGCAAGTTATTTATTCAAGAATGTCTTAGTCATACATTTTTGATGCCCTGCTTAAACCGGCAGGGTTTTGGTGGTGGCACTATTAATGAGGGTATAGCATTTTTGCTTATTTAAAAAATACACTGTTTCTGTTTCATGAAATATGTAAGTTAAAATAGTTTATTACTTAGTGTCATGCTTTATAATACCTGGCACAAAAATCCACACTTGGAAAAGTAAAGATCTAAATTTTTCACAAAAGCATTAACATAAGGTTATTGTCAGTCTTGTACACGTTGATAGCTTCTGAATTGTTCATAAGTTTGATACTTCGATTAAAAGTTTTAATTTAGGAAACTGCAAAGAATGTTGAATTGCAATAGACGAGGATTGGAATACTTTTCTGTCAGACTAATATGGAATTATTCATCAATAGGTAATGGAGACCAAAAATATGTTGTACCTTGTCACAGAATATGCAAAAAATGGAGAAATTTTTGGTAAGCACTTCTCTTTTTTTATTTAATTTGAAGGTGTGACTAATCTCCATGGAGTATTTTTGTTAATACTTCTGCTTGTTTAAGAATCAGTAATGAGGATTAGACATTCTTAAGCATTATAATATAAGAAAATATCCAGTAAGCTTAAATTTTGGAATACAATTTATTCTCTTGTATTTATGATATTAAAGCTACTGCTTAATTCTGTCATCTGTGTTAAAGAGATTGGAGAATAAATGATAGGGAGAAAATTTCAGTAATATTCAAGAGAGATTTTCTTTCCTTGTATCTTCAGTTTTACCTTTCTTTCCAGGATAAAGATCAGTCAGCAAACATTTACTGAACTCCTACTGTTTCTCAGGCATTGTATTAGGGGATACAGGTGTGACCTAAATAACACAGCCTCTGCCATTGTGGTTCTTACAGTTCAGTAAGCTATTACCTACACCTGTGAGACCTAAGGAACATCACTAAATCTCTCTGAGACTCAGTCCCTTATCTCTAATGAGAAAGTATTTGATTGATTGTCCTCTGTAATCCATGCTAACCCTTAAAAAATTACAAACATTTTATTATTTCTAGCATTCATCTATTTTATTTTTACTTTATGGAGCCATAACATTGTCACTAGTCTTAAATATTTTTGACTTTTAACCTGAATTTAAGTCAAAATTGCTTTTTAAACAGCTTTATTGAGGAATAATTAACATATAATAAATTGCATCTATATAATGTGTACAACTTACAGGTTTTCAGACACATACACATTTGTGAGATAAACCATCACAATTAAAATATCCATCACTCTCAAAACTTTCTTTGTACCCCTTTTTAATCTGTATTGCTCCACCTCATCACCAGACAACCACTGATCTGTTTGCTGTCACTATAGATTAGTTTGTGTCTCCTAGAGCTTTATATAAATGTAGTCACTAGAGTATGTACTCTTTTTTTGGTTTGGTTTCTTTCTCTCTTTCAGTATAATTATGTCAAGATTCATCCATTTTCTTGTGTATACCACATGTCATTTCCTCTTATTGTAATTACAGTTGACCCTTGGACAACGCAGTTTTGAACTGCATGGGTGCACTTATATGTAGATTTTTTCTGGTAAAATATATTGGAAAATTTCTGGAAATTTGCAGCCATTTGAGGAACATTTTCTTTCCTCTAGCTAACTTTATTGCAGGAATACAATATATAATACATACAACATACAAACTGTACTTTAACTGACTACTTAGGTTATTAGTAAGGCTTCCAGTCAGTAGGCTATTAGTAGTTACATTTTGGAGGAGTCAACAGTTCTACATGAATTTTCAGTTACGCAGGGATTTGGCACCCTCGACCCCCATGTTGTTCAGAAGTCAACTGTAGTTTTATTGTAAGTAGTATCCTATTGTATGAATATACTCCAATTTGCTTAACCATTCATGGGTTTATAGAAGTTTGGGTTACTTTCAGTTTTTGGCTATTACACATTAATTGCTATGAACATTCCTGTACAAGTCTTTATCATACAGCGTCCTTTCAAGTAATATTCACCACTTCATGTAGAGTATATAAGAACCTTATAATAATAACATACTTTTGTTTTGCCTTTCTTGGCCTTTATGTTCTTGTCATATACTTTATTTACACCTATTTTATAAAACATAAAATATAGTATCATTATTTTGTTTAAAGAGTCAATTATGTTTTAAAGAGATTTCAATATAGTTTTTTATTATTACATATTTACTAGTGGAGTTAACATTGCTGCATTCCTATATGTATATGCATTCATTCCTTTGGGTAGATACATATTTTCACCTGGTGTAATTTTTCTTCTGCCTGAAGGATTTTCTTTAACATTTCTTATAGAGCAGGTCTGTTGGTGATGAAATCTTTCAGTGTTTGTATGTCTAAAATAATCTTTATTTTATTTGTTTTGAAAGATATTTGTGTTGGGTATATAATTCTAGGTTGACTTATTTCAGTACTTTCATGATGTTGCTCCACTGTCTTCTCATTTACATTGTTTCTGACAAGAAATCTGTCATTCTTCTTTTTCTTTATTCTTCTATGTGAATTGCCTTTTTTCTCTGGCTGATTTTTCAGGTTTTCTATTTACTGTTGGTTTCAGCAAAGTACATTATGATGTGCCTTTGTGTGGCTTTCTTTGTAAGTCTTATGTTTGGTGTCCATTGAGCTCCTAGGACCTGTGAATGCATAATTTCCATCAAATTCAGGAAATTTTGAGCCATTATTTTCTTAATATTTCTGACCTATGCCCTCTCTTCTTCAGAGACTCCAATTACACATGTATTATGCTGTTTGAGGTTTTTCCACAGCTTATTGCTGCTCTCTTGCATTGGAAAAAAAACTTTTTCTCTCTCTTTTACATTTTCTGTAGGTGCTATTTCTGTGGCTTCAAGTTCACTAATATTTTTTTTGCAGTGTCTAATCTGCCATTAATCTCATCCAGTATATTTTTCATCTCAGACATTGTGATTTTCTGCTCTATGAGCTTAACTAGGGCCTTTTTTTTTCTCTGTATTTATTATACCCTCCATGTGTTCTGTTAGCTTTTTGAACATCTGGAATACAATTTTAGTGACTTTTAGTGTCCTAAGTCTGGCACCTCTTTCAGTGCTGGTTCAGTTTTGAATGGTTGATGGTTCTCTTCAGCTTTTGGTCATATTTTCCTGATTCTTTACAAGCCCACCAGCCTTTGGGTGCCAGACATTGTCTGTTTTACCTTGTTGGTTGCCACTCCGTTTTGTATTCCTGTAACTCATGTTGACAGTTCTATTACTTGAGAATAGTTTGATACATTGGGTCTTCCTTTTACAATTGGAGCAGTGCTGCATCTAGGTTTAATTATTTCCCTTTTATGTAGTCCTCCCTATGCCCCATGACTTCTGGGGTTTCTTTTTTTTTGGCCTGGCCAGTAGGAACAGGCACTGTTCTCTCTGATACTCTCAGATGCTTCTTTGTCTGGCCTGGGTAGTTTTCTCACACATATGTGCCAATCAGTACTCTCCTAAATATTCAAGGGGACCTCTCTGCATCTTTGGAATTCTTCCTGTACCTAGCTCTCTCTTCTCTGTTTTGTGGCCTACAGAGGACTTGATCTACCCAGATTCACAACTCTGTCTCCTCAACTCAAGAAATTTACTGGGCTCTGCCTGGGTTTCCTTTCCCTGTGTTATAGCCTAGACACTCTCTCCAAGCATTAGTTGAGGGCATTCCTAGGTTTTACATCATTTCTTTCCTGTTTCTCAGGGATCACTCTCCTTCTTTGCCTGATGTTCAGTGCCTCATAAATTTTTGTCAGCTTTTTGTTTGTTTGGGGAGGGGTTTGTTTCAGGCAGGAGGGTAAATCTGGCCCCTGTTACTCCATCTTTGTTGAAAGCAGGTCTCCAATTGATTCAAAATTATCTTTAATTTCAGTTATTTTTTAAAGTAAGAATTATACATACTTATCATGATGTTGCTCCACTGTCTTCTCATCTACATTGTTTCTGACAAGAAATCTGTCATTCTTCTTTTTCTTTATTCCTCTGTGTGATTTGCCTTTTTTCTCTGGCTGCTTTTCAGGGTTTCTATTTACTGTTGGTTTCAGCAAAGTACATTATCATGTGCCTTTGTGTGGCTTTCTTCGTGAGTCTTATGTTTGGTGTCCATTGAGCTCCTAGGACCTGTGAATGCATAATTTCCGTCAAATTCAGAAAATTCTGACCCATTATTTTCTTAATATTTCTGACCTATGCCCTCTCTTCTTCAGAGACTCCAATTACACATTTATTATGCTGTTTGAAGTTTTCCCAGCTTCTGCTTACTGCTGCTCTTTTCCATTGGAAAAAACAAAAAAACCTTTTTCTCTCTGTTTTACATTTTATGTAGTTGCTATTTCTGTGGCTGATTTTCTGCTCTATGAGCTTAACTAGGGCCTTTTTTTCTATTTATTATACCTTCCATGTCTTCTGTTAGCTTTTTGAACATCTGTAATACAATTTTAGTAACTTTTAGTGTCCTCAGTCAGGCACCTCTTTCAGTGCTGGTTCAGTTTTGAATGGTTGATGGTTCTCTTCAGCTTTTGGTCATATTTTCCTGATTCTTTACAAGCCCAGCAGCCCTTGGGTGACAGACATTGTCTGTTTTAGCTTGTTGGTTGCCACTCCATTTTGTATTCCTGTAACTCATGTTGACAGTTCTATTACTTGAGAATAGTTTGAGATACTGGGTCTTCCTTTTACGGTTGGAGCAGTGCTGCATCTAGGTTTAATTATTTCCCTTTTGTAGTAGTCCTCCCTATGCCCCATGACTTCTGGAGTTTCTTTTTTTTAGCCTGGCCAGCAGGAACAGGCACTGTTCTCTCTAGTACTCTCAGATGGCTCTTTGTCTGGCCTGGATAGTTTTCTCACACATATGTGCCAATCAGTACTCTCCTAAATACTCAAGGTGACCTCTCTGCATCTTTGGAATTCTCTCTGTACGTAGCTCTCTCTTCTCTATTTTGTGGCCTACAGAGGACTTGGTCTACCTAGATTCACAACTCTGTCTCCTCAACTCAAGAAATTTGCTGGGCTCTGCCTGGGTTTCCCTTCCCTATATTATAGCCTAGACACTCTCTCCAAGCATTAGTTGAGGGCATTCCTAGGTTTTACATAATTTCTTTCCTGTTTCTCAGGGATCACTCTTCTTGTTTGCCTGATGTTCAGTGTCTCATATATTTTTTGTCAGCTTTTTGTTTGTTTGGCGAGGGGTTTGTTTCAGGCAGGAGGGTAAATCTGGCCCCTGTTACTCCATCTTTGTTGAAAGCAGGTCTCCAATTGATTCAAAATTATCTTTAATTTCAGTTATTTTTAAAAGTAAGAATTATACATACTTATGTAGTTTTGAAAAATATATTATTTACAGTTGAATTCTAAATAAATAGTTCTACTTGAATCCTTTCCTAATTGTATTTCACGAAAGATAGTTGACTTGCCTCTTACTTTTTTTTTGTCTCTTTT